TTTGTCCCTACATCCAGCACCCAGCAGCCACTCAATAAATGCTGACTAGTTGAATGATTTGAGCAGATTAGATAATGCTCTCTTTCCCAAACATGAGGCAAATTGCTAGACACATTCATTCTAATTGCCCAGTCAATGAAGATGAAGAAATAAATACTAAGCAATAATGGCAGGCAGTGATGATGATCTCTGAAGCTTCCTTCAGGGGCTCTCATCAAAAGTCTCTGTTGGGGGAGGCAACTGTTCTGCTTAAGGCTGGCTAAATGATCTTACCTCATCATATCCCAAAATTGCTGCATAGAAATTATTTGTCATCATGAGCATGTTCTTCTTCAGGATATAGGAATTAACCTACAGAAACAAATGGCAAAAACAAAAGTATGAAAGAAAGGAAAAAACCAAAAAGTATGATCTTTGACTCTTAGCTGTTACAGACTCTAAGTAGAACAAAGAGAAAGAGCCCCTAACAAGTCAAACTGCCAGTCCATTCCCAATTCTCTGATCTGTCAGGATTCTCCCCAATTTGCTAACTTCTTTAAGGTTTTTATCTCAAATTACACAAAACAGTCAGTTTAATGAACTGAGCCCCAATGACATGTTTGATTTTGTGCTAAATCCTATGAACACAAAGTATAAGAAACAGTTTCTTGATTGAAGAAGCACATAGTCTAATATGGGAAAATAGGCATATGAAAAACAATTACACTAGAATGTGTTACCTCAAATCCTATTCCAAACACTCTGAATCATAAATAGATTTCAGTGCAAATGACCTCTGCTTTGGGGAGCTGGGGAAGCGTTTGCTAGGAGGTAACATTTGAGTGGACCTTGGAGAAGGAGTTTGACAGAAGAGGGTGAGGGGGAGGAGACAGCATTCTTGTCAGAGAAAACAAAGTGGGCAAGGTGCAGCTGCTGAAAAGAAAATGGGGAGTGTCAGGGAGAGTGAACGGGCAGGAACACTGGAAAGGTACATTGGGACCAGGTTAGAAAATGTCTTAAGGGCCACTCAAAAGAGATTTATGTGGTGAAAGAACTAAAAGAAGGAAGTTGTGAGAAGTGGGAAGAGGAGGGAGCAGGGTAGGACTGTGAGTGAGATGCTAGGGGAGAAACGAGGGTCTCTGAGGCCATGGAGAGGAGGAAACAAGATGGGCAACTCTGAAGTAGTAAGGCTGTTAATATTAAGAGATTATTGTTTGTTTGTTTGGGTTTTTTTGAGACAGAATCTTACTCTGCTGCCTTGGCTAGAGTGCAGTGGTGTCATCATAGCTCACTATAACCTCAAACTCCTGGGCTCAAGTGATCCTCCTGCCTCAGCCTCCAGAGTAGCTGGGACTACAGGTGTGCACCAACATGCCCAGTTGATGTTTTCTAGTTTTAGTAGAGACAGGGTCTCACTCTTGCTCAGGCTGGTCTTAAATGATCCTCCCGCCTCTGCCTCCCAGGGTGCTAAGATTATAGGTTGAGCCACTGCACCCAACCAAGAGATTGTTTTAGAAATACTATTCCAGTGAGACCATTGAGACCCTGGTAGAACTCCTCTCAGGGAATGGCCAGGAGGGCCTTCAAAGACTAGCATGCAGTTCACTGAATGTCTTCAATAGGGTAAATCTTTGACCTGCAGACAGTAACATGCTGGAGGGCAGGATCCATATTTTATTTCTCACTGGGGAGCCCAGGAGAAAGCCAGTGTAATGTTTAACATAGAGTAAGAACTATTTAAACGGACAGGTTTTAGAAACAGCCAAAAATCATTTGGAACTTTATGTAAGATTTGTGCTTAACCACCCCAACCACCACCATGCCCACTGTCATCTCCTCTATTTACTGGGCACCTGTCACGGGCCCCGTGCTTTATGGACATCATCTTATCTAACTGTCACCAGAATTCAGAGAGGTATATATGTTATAGTCACTGATAGACCATAGGTGACCATCTGAGAAATTCAAACAGGTGAAGTGACTTGCCTTAGGTTGCATAGCAAACTAATGATAAGGCTGAGACTAGCATCCAGGTCATTCTGAATCCAAAGTCCATGCTCCTTACATTCTACAAGGTCCCTGCCACCGGAAACAAATTTTTACTTTGGATCACAAATCAAAGACTAAGTAATTTTATCCTGTGGTTTGTAACTGGTCTCTGAATAAAGGCAGAAAGGGTAAAAGGATCTGGATTTAGAGTCAGAAAACCTGAGTTCAAGGCATAGTTTTGCTATATACATAGGATGTGATCTTGAGCAAGCTGAATAGCCTCTTTGAAGCCATTTCTGTATCTTTTAAATGCCATACACACAGGGCTGTTTTGAAGAGCACATGAGTTAGCATATATTCATTCATTAATTTAACAATGTATGCTGAAAGCCTTGGCAGACTGCAGAGTGCTCTGCAAATGCAAGGAATTATGAGTAATAACTTCTGGTTTGTTTATATAAAACTAAAACCAGTTCCAATACTTTATAGTCATGGATAATTTTCAAAAATGAAGAGAGAATTGTGAAGCTCAAGTCTGGAAAATGTGAGATTGGATGTAGCTAGAAGTGCAAACCATGACCTTTCCCACTCATCTTCAACCCAGGCCACATTAGCCATCCATCCTTTGTGTTCTCACAGCTCTCTGTGCATACTTCTCCCCCTGGGTACACAACACAGTTTAGAGTTGCTTGTGTGCCTATCTCTCCCATTAGTCTGGGAGCTACTTACTGGTCATAAGAACCATGTCTGATTAATCTCAGCACCCCCAACACCTGGTTCAGTGCCTAACCCAGAGGAGGGGCTGAGACAGGCATGGCGATGACTGAATCCTTACAAGAGCCTGAGTACCATGCATAGCATGTTCTATCCAATGACAGCAGTAATTTTGAGTTTCTTCTTCTTCTTTTTTTTTTGCTGCTGAATACATTCCATGTTTCTGAAGTTTCAGAAACATACTGCCAAATTTCTACTGCCCCATCTTCCAGAAGGGGCTGAGGTAAAAAGGAGAGTCAAGAAACAGACCAGAGCTAGAATTCATTCCTTCTGTCATGTGAGGATGAGATTACAACCCAGACCTCTAGATACCCATTTTGGGGCTTACTCCCATACAAACTGTTCTCCTGCCTCTGCAAGAAGAATCAGAGCCACAAAAGGACAGCATCAGAGGCACCTCTCAGAGGAAAACAGTCACTGAAACTTCCCAGCAGAGCCAGTTTATGTGTTGCATCATGCCAGTAAGCTTTGGAGCTAGAAGGGCCCTCAGAGATCACCTAGCTCAGTACTCTTGAAGAAATGGTGAACTGAGACCCAAAAGGGACAAGAAACTTATCCAAGGTCACACATCAAGTTAGCGTCAGAGCCAGGATTAGAACCTGATTTCTGAACGAATGCTTTTCCTACTTCACTATCTGTAGGGCATTTCCAGAGATCACCAACATATAAATCTGCAAACCTCATTTTTTGCTTTCCAGCAAGGCCACGTACATACAAACATATTTTCTCCTCCTGGGACGCACCTACATACTGGCTGGCTATTGCCCAGGAGGAAAGGAGCACAGGAGTCGAGTTCCTTGTAAGCAGGGCTCCTCAACCTCCTAGTCCTATATTCTAACTCCAGTGACCTGTAAGCTGCCTCTCCCCCTCACCTCCAGCACAGAGATGGCAAGCTGCTAGGAATGGTTTTCAGATATCATCACCCAGGCTGGATTAGATCATGAAAAGGGCCCTTCCTGGAAGAGGGTGGAAGCTCGATCAGTGCAGACATATGATCTGCAGGCAACAGGTGAGGACAAGTGACAGCAGCTTCCTCAACTACTGGACTCACTCTGCTGGGCCCTTCTAGCCATCCCTGCAGCCAGAGGGAGCTGGATACTCCTCTGGTATACCCTTATTGAATTTTATTCCCTCATTTAAACTTTTGTTTCCCCATCTCTCCATTGCCAGATCATTATATATGGAGACCTCTGCCCATGAATACACAGATGGACCCAGCAGAAGAGAAACTCCTCCCAGATAGTGTTGGGCTAGTCTCTTATTAATCTCTTATTCTTTTCATACTGCTTTGTTTATAAAAACCCATACATATAGCTCCACCACAAGGAAAAGTTTCCTTTTATATCAGTTACTCATATTTTCCCATTTATTTAAGTAAGCTATTAAAATTCATGTAGATATTTTATAAGCCATCAGGATTCAGAGACTGGTATTACTGAATGTTTAATAATAAACTAAACAGAAGAAATCAGAGGGTTAAATGATGACTGCAATTCCTAATGACTTAATTAAATTTTTATTGAGTACATAAACTATGATGTCATTTCTAGCCAACCATGGGTCTACTTTCCCAGCATGTCACAGGGTGGGAGCACTCAATAGGAGGCTAGGCTAAATGAGCAGCAGGTCTCAGCTGAAATGGGGAGGGGAGCAAGGCTCATGTAACACACTCAATAAATTATCCGTTCATTTTTAAACAAAGTCCATGAGTTATAATATATTTGCCATGCACTTTTTATGACATAATAAAAATGTTACCTTAAGGATTACTTAACACATACTACAAATGTTATAGCAGAGGCAGGCACAAGGGGCAAAGAAAACAAACATGAGCAGGCCAGGGACGGGTCCTGGAGTTTATGTCCCAAGGGGAACAGCATAGCATATTAAAAAGGGAATGCAAAAAAAGGGAGGGGGGATATAAGAGTTCAAGGTTACTAATCTGCAGATTAATGAATGAGACAACCAACAGGGAACACAAGTAAAGCAATAATGAATCTTGCAAGGCACATGTTTAATTAATGTAGCATTCTCGAGGAGGAATATTAGCTTTAAAGAGATGCCAGTTCATTTGAGGCCAATTCACTACCCTCTTTCCCCTTTTTCACTGTTGCTGCTCTTAAAGACATTTATGTGACTGCTTAACAGAGGAACCAGACTATGTGGATATACGGACCAATGGGAGATCAAATTTTAACTCCTCCATGAGCTCAACAAGGCTCTTCATGCTCTGCTCTTGGTCATCTTTCCTGCCTCACCTCCTCTCATCTCCCCACTTTTATCTCACCCTTCAGTCAGAATATAACCTATGTACACATAACCTATGTACAATTTTCCACAGATATATCATGCTTTCTTCTATCTCTTAGTCATACTGCTGCTGGGAATCTTTCTACATTATCCATTGACAGAAGTGATGCTAACTCCTTATCCTCTACGACTTAGCTCACAAATCACTTTCTCTACAAAGCCTCCCCTATCCCCAGTCTACAGGTGTCCAAAAGTGATTCAAGTCTAAAAATAGGTCCCATAATTCACTGTTTACCAAGTGCCAAGAACCATGATAAGAGCTTTATATAATACGTATTTGTTCATTTAATCCTTCGCAATGACTCTGATACAGGTACTGTTACTACCTCCTTCAGAGAAGAGGAAACTGATGTTTGGTAAAGTTAAAGCTGCAGAGCTGGGATCAAGATTAGAACACAGAGCAATCCAATTCTTATCTATGTTGGAACAAACACAAAGAATGTGGGTGCCCCTTCATGTGCCCCACACCACCGGTTACCTAAGAGGCAAAGCTAAGAAGTGCTAATGTGGTCTTGAGTAAAGACAACTCAGAGATTCCTAATTCCGGTGGCAGCTAGAGACAGGCCACTAGATAAGTCTTCAGTGGCCAGTTACTAATATGTCAGACATCTCTAGTGTAGCCAAGCTCCTCTCCTGCTGGGAGGAGGGGAGAATGGAAGAAGGTCAGTAAGCAAAACACAAGAAATGATGAGGATGAAGGCAAGAATAAGCTTTAAGGTTACTGATGAATCAAAGTTGCTAGCACAACAGACTGGTAAGAATTTGTTGGAATGAATGAAGAAAGGGTGGCTAGAGTTGCTGACTGAAGCATGAGGAATATATCAAATCATAGGGCAACAATGAAATGCAATAGATTGTAGATCATGTTTTAGTTGTCTTGATAGCAGACAGGAATGCCATAAGCAACACTCTGCAGTACCAACACCATGTGCTACATCATTGTGTAGCACAATGAACATCAGCTAGCCTATTTAAATTTAATGTTAGAAATCAGCCCATTATGGAATATTATGTGATATACACAGAAACAGGGTACAAGTAAATAAGAGAAGGGGGACATGGAGAGATCAGATACAAAAGTAAACATATTATTCACTTACTTGCACTGAAAGATTGACTGAAGGTATTTTATCAATGATCAAAAAATACAAACAGAACTTGTGTGTGTGTGTGTGCATATTAGGCAGTTCCAGAGAAAACTGTTAATACTAAGAAAAAAGAAAACTTAATAAAACATGAAAAGACATTTCAATTTCTTCTTCTCTTTTTAGAAAATGATGTGAAAATTGGAGTAAAGCATGTTCCAGTTGAGATGAAAGGCCAACCTAAACAAAGCATAAGGTGATCCTTTTAAAAATCCATTTTTTGTGTGTGTATGGAGACAGAATCTCGCTCTGTCGCCCCAGGTAGAGTGCAGTGGCATCATCATAGCTCACTGCAACCTCAAACTCCTGGGTTCAAGTAATCCTCCTGCCTCAGCCTCCCAAGTAGCTGGAGCTACAGGTGCTTGCCACTGTATCCAGCCTCATTTCAAACTTTTAATGCACAAGGGAAGCTTGCTGTATCATGAAATGCCTTTTTAAAAAAAATCCTTTTCTTATTTATTTTGAAATTTTCAGTTTTGCTGCTTGGGATCTACATATTCAAAACCTGCATAGCCTGATAATGTCCTGAAAAACAAGGTAGGTATATGGTTAGCAGGCAGGATTGCAGAACCAGCACCCTTCCTTCAAATTCTGAATGGTTACAACATACTGGAGTACTTTCCTCAGACTTGAAAAATAGCCAAGAGAGAAAAGATGGCTGTCCTCAGAAACTCCAGTCATCCATTCAGTGGACAAGGCATTCAAACACATCAGTAAGTCCATAATCACCTTGAAAAGCAGCTGATAAGGTACATTAAGGTCCTAAGAAGATCAAACTATCACACCAATTTAATTTTCTTCTATTTAAGGACATAAAGATAAGGGGAATATAACAGCTATAATCTACTGTGATTTCTGGAAGCTTTTTATAGCATCCACACGACAAGTCTCATACACACCAAGCTTGAAAGTGTCACTGTTTTAACAACAGCACTGATAGTACACAGACCTCAAGGAAATAATCCAGGGGGCTACTTAAAATCCGTACTGATAATAATAATTCTGACAATAGTGGTGACAACAATGCTTATACATTGCATTTGATTAGATAATGTTTTCATTTTATGCATCCAGAAGCTCAGAGCCTTACTGCTGCTGTTGTATTGATTCTATAAGCAAGAAAACCCAAGCTCAAAAATGTTAAGTGACTTGCAGCTAAATCATACCCTGCTTGTAAGTGGCAATGCTAGGGATTTTAACTATGATGGCAAGTCCCTAAATCGAGTGTCTTTCCTAAGCTATCACACCTTTCTGATTCTGATGAGTCACATCAAAATGAGAGAATCACACAAGCACAAAGCTAAAATGGCTAATTTCTGTACTTTATAAAACAAGAATAAAATGGACTCTAAATTATTGGAAAAATTCTCCTAAAAACAAGATGAGATTCAACAAGGTCAAATGCAAAGTATTATGTCTATATCAAAATAAATAAATAAATAACAGGATGGAAGAAGGGTTTGACCAGGTAGATGTAATAGAACAGAGCAAATCTCTCTCATGAACTGATGAAATGGAAATGTGAAAAGGTAATCATAATTGGACATATTAAAAGAAAAGCCAAACACAAAGGTCAAAAAGTTTTCTTTCCTCTTTTATTATAATAGTTGAAAGTTTTTGTTTTAGCTACTATACTTAAGAATGAACACAGAGAATCAGAGAAATTTCAATGAAGAATGTCAGATAGATATGGTCATGATGGGTTGGCACTGGTCACAGGCTAGAGCAATAAATGTTCCATGGGCAACAGAAACATCCAGAGGCTGTTCCATGAACTGGTCAGGTTGCTTCCATCGTTAGCCTCAATGGATCAGATCTCAGAAGTACCCTGATACTATCTGAGAAAATTATAACTCTCGGCCGGGCGCTGTGGCTCACGCCTGTAATCCTAGCTCTTGGGAGGCCGAGGCGGGCGGATTGCTCAAGGTCAGGAGTTCAAAACCAGCCTGAGCAAGAGCGAGACCCCGTCTCTACTATAAATAGAAAGAAATTAATTGGCCAACTGATATATATATAAAAAATTAGCTGGGCATGGTGGCGCATGCCTGTAGTCCCAGCTACTCGGGAGGCTGAGGCAGAAGGATCACTCGAGCCCAGGAGTTGAGGTTGCTGTGAGCTAGGCTGACGCCACGGCACTCACTCTAAAAAAAAAAAAAAAAAAAAAAAAAAAAAATTATAACTCTCTCTTTGTACCACTTCCTTACATCTGGGACCTACTCTTCCCTCATCCCACATGGGTCCCCTCATCACAGAGATGGGCACATAGTTCATGCTAAACCAGTCAGACTCTTGCTTCTGAGACTAGAAACAACCAAAGATAAAAGGAAGCTAAATTTGGATTACCCCAAAGACACTATACATAACTTCCTGTTACTAATACTAAGATCCCTTAGTTGCCCTGCATCTTTTCTTCCCGAAGCCTGTTGTTAAACACTTCACTCTGTGAGTCTTAGTTACCATGCAGTAAATCCTTTGTTTGCTTAAATGAGCTAAAGTCTCAGTTGATTACAATCAATGGAATTCATCAATTCATTAAAAACTAACAGTATCAGCTAACATTTGGTGAATACTTACCATGTGCCAGAAACTGTATTAAAAGCCTTATAACTGTTAGCTCTTTATCTGCACAATAATCCTAAAAAGGGGGTATTATTATCCTCATTTTATAGAAAAGGCATCACCTCATTTTTCTGTGAAGGTTTTCAAATCTTCCCAAAGCTTGTTGCTTATTCCTACACATGGGTTTTAATACTTCCACCAGGAATACTTACTGTACTATTTTAATGATCTATTTATAGGCTGACCACCCCTAACACATAGACATACTGCATTAGATTGTGAGCTCCTTGAGGGCAAAGGTGGCATACTGTTTGGCACACATCAGTAGGACAAATCAATATGACACTGTCTGTCATAATTACCTTGTATAGTACTGGTATCCATGTACTTTTACACATTTCAAGGAAGCTCTCCAAGTACAAGGATTCAGGGAGGGGCTGAGCAAATCTATGTACATGTCACTGCTATTTTCATGGTTTTCAAACACAACTCTACTCTAGCCTGAGGAGGCCCAACTCCTGTCTTTTCAGTCCGTCCTCACATGGCTCTGAAACCCTACATCCCTATCAAATCAATCTCTTGTACTAAAATCAGTTTCCAGACCACCTCTAGTTCCATTACAATCATGTGCCACATAATGATGTTTTGGTCCATGATTGACCACATATACAACAGTGGTTCCATAAGATTATAATACTGTATTTTTACTATACATTGTCTATATTTAGATGTGTTTCAAAATACTATTGTAATATAATTGCCTACAATATTCAGTACCATAACATGCTTTACAGGTTTGTAGCCTAGGAGCTACACTATATAGCCTAGGTGTATAGTAGGCTATACTGTCCAGATGTGTTCAAGTATACTCTATGATGTTACCACAATGACAGAATCACTTAACGACACATTTCTCAGAACATGTCCCCAGAGTTAAGCAATACACTTCTGTACCACCATTTTGTAGGAGTTCAGGACCTGGAATCAAAATATGTATACGGAAACTTTTTTTTTTTTTTTACAGATGGGGTCTCGCTGTCACCCAGGCAGGAGTGCAGCAGCACAATCATAGCTCATTGCAGCCTCAAACTCCTAGGCTCAAGCAATCCTCCCTCCTTAGCCTCCCAAGTAGCTAGGACCACAGGAGTGCGTAACCATGTCGAGCTAATTAAGGAAACTTTTTTTAGAGACAGGGTCTTGCTATCTTGTTCAGGCTGGTCTCAAATTCCTGGCCTCAAGTGATTCTCCCGCTTCAGCTTCCTAAATTGCTGGGATTACAGGTATGAGCCACCATGCCCAGCTTATATATAAGTCTAAGGTAAAAAAGGAGAGCTCTGACTGAATAGAAAGAGAACTTCACATTGTCAGAGTAAGAAAATACTAAATGTGGAACTGAGTTTGTCTCTCTTGCTGGTTACTCTAACAAGATAAAAGCCAACTACTCTGAAGTAAACAGACATTTGATCCCTGCCTGTTCTATAACAAGTGCTATGTAAGAATAATAGGAAATTTTCTAAGAGGTACCTTTCTGTTTATACTTCCAAGTTTAAGAAAAGGCTTATATTCCTGTTTCTGAATACTCTCAAAGAAAAAAAAAAAAAAGAAAAGGCTTATACCCTGTCAACAAGTACCAGTCCAAGAAAGTTTTGGTTAGGTTTTTTTTTTTTTTTTTTTTTTGAGACAGTGTCTCACTCTGTCACCCTGGCTAGAGTGCAGTGGCATCATCATAGTTCACTGCAACCTCAAATTCCTGGGCTCAAGCAATCCTCCTGCCTCAGCCTCCCAAGTAGCTGGGGCTATAGGCGCACACCACCACACCTGGTTAATTTTTCTATTTTTAGTAGAGACTGGGTCTTGCTCTTGCTTAGGCTGGTCTCAAACTCCTGAGCTCAAGCGATCCTCCTGCCTCGGCCTCCCAGAGCACTAGGATTACAGGCATGAGCCTTCACGCCCGACCTAGGCTTTGGTTTCTGTTGTGAAACAGAAGATTTGGAAAGTGAAAATAGTTTACTTTATTGATGGTCATTAATAGAACCAATTAGCAAGACAATTACCCGAAGTATAAGAAAAAGATAATTCCATTCTCACCTACTAGGACGGTTATAATTTAAAATAAAAGAAAAATAAGTATTGGTAAGGATGTAGAAAAATTGGAACCCTCATCCATCCAAGGGAATGTAAAATGGTACAGCCACTGTGGAAAACTGTTTGGTGGTTTCTCAAATGGCTAAACACATGACCCAACAATCCCACTCCTAACTATATACTCAAAAGAACTGAAAGCAGTGACGAATAGATGTTTGTACACTAATTTTCAAAACAGCATTATGTACAATAGCCAAAAGGTGGAAACAACCCAAGTGTCCATCAGCAGAAGAATGAATAAAAATAAACAAAATGTGGTATACATGTACAATGGACTATTTGGAATATTATTCCACCATAAAAAGGAACAAAGTGTTGACATATGCTATAACATGGATGGACCTTGAAAACATCTTACATAGTGAAATAAGTCAGACACAAAAGGACAAATACTGTATAATTTCACTTATATGAGGTATTTAGGCAAATTCAGAGATAGAAAGAAGAACAAAGGTTACCTGGGGCTAAAGGGAAGAGAAATGGGGGAGTTATTACTTATGGGTACAGAGTTTTTGTTAGGGATGATGAAAAAGTTTTAGGTATAGATAATGATGGTTAAATAACACTGTGAATGTAGTTAATGCTACTCAATTGTACACTTACAAATGGTTGAAAAGGTAAAATATTATCTTGTGTATATTTTATAACAATAAAATTCCAATTATAAATGGTTTTTCTCAAACAGGTATTTCAATCTGTGACTTAATCATGTGTATATTAAAACCTCTCTTATGTTACTCATACCATTCTGTATAGTAGTATCATGAAGAAATTTATGTTCCTTGTTAGACTATAACCTGTCTCAGTGAAGAATTCTACATTGCCCTGTATATGTTTGATAAGAATGTACTGAGTGCCTACTGTATTCTAGGCATTGTGGTATGTGCTGGAAATAAAATTCAATGAATAAAACTCAGTATTTGTCCTCAAGAAGTTCATACTCTCATGTGGAAGACACTTAGCACACTGTATGTAAAAAATGGCAACGGTGTGGGGCCAAAAGGCTTCAGAGAAAAGACAACGTTTATTATACTGGGTATTAAAAGGTGAATAAGTATGTTCAGACAGAAAGAATGGTATGTGTAAGGCCACAGAGAGGTAAACAAGTACAGCATTTTCAGAGGAAAATTTGTAACAAAGAGCTTATGGTAGGAAGAAGCAGAAGGCAGAGGTGGAAAAGCAATTTGTGTTAGATTATAAATGGTCCTGAATGCCACATGAAGGAAAGACAAGGAAGGGTTCTAAGCACAGGGAAATTACACAGGCATTTATTTTCACAAAGTAACCCTAGAAGTAAGGGTTACTTTAGGACCAGAGGCAGGAATACCAGAGGAGGCTGCTGTAATAGCCTAGGAGAGAGTTGGTAAGGAATTGAACCAATGTAAGTGGCAATAGAGAGGAAGGAATGCTTTCATGAGAAATGTCTACGGCAGGCTCAAAAGGATTTGTTTATCAAGTGGATGTGGAAGAGAAAAGGCGAGGCTGCGACTTGCACATCATCAAACCTCACTGAAGAAAGTGAAGAGAGAAGAAAGAAGATGAAGAAAGAATGCAACGGTTATATGCAATCGTACACTGATGACTTTCTGACCCTGGCAGCACCAAGTGCAAACAACCAGTCTTGTATGATTTTAGCAATCACCGTGCCCTTAATGTCTCCTATGTTGTGGTAATGGAAAATCTTACTCAGATAAGATGTAATACAAGCAAGATGTGTATTTAGTTGGAGCCCAGCAGGCGTCTCCAGTGGAGCAAGGGTATAACACACCAGGGCCTAGGAGCCTGAGCCCCATTTCCAGTAATTTGTTCACTACATGTCAGTAGATATCATTCATCTGGGTCCTTTGCATTCTCTCTGAGGTCATGAGGTCTGATTACTGTCAGCAAGAAGATGCTGACATACTCAGGTTTCCAGAGACACTTGTAGGCTCCTAATTGCACCCTAAGCCTCATGACTGCATTTATGAGCACAGAAAACCTGCAGGCACAACTTTGCTTTTTAATGATTTTCTATTAAATTTAGGCAGACTGGGTACAGTGGAAAGCTATAAGGATGCTTGTTCCCCATCACTATGAACTATCTCA